GTACTCCAAATGGCCCGCCTCCTCCGGGGCGTCGGGCGGGGCCGAAGGCGGCCCTTTGGCCCCGCCCCCGAGGCCCTCGAGGGCACTTTCCAGCCCCCGCAGGCCCCGGAGGGCGACCCCGAGCTCCGGCAGGACGCGCCCGTGGGCGGGCGTCGCCATCCGGCGGAGCAGCGCGGCGATCGTGCGGGCCTCGCGCGCGATCAGCCCCGGGGCGTTCGCCAAAAACGCAGGGCTGCAGGCCGGGGAGACCTCGAAGCCGTTGAGGTCCGCGCTCAGCGCCGTCACGAACGCCCGGGCGAGGTGGGCCCCGAGCGATTGCACCCCCTCCTCCGTGAGGGCGGGCTGGCGAAGCCGGTCCAGCGCCTCGCGCGCGCGGGCGATGTGGAGGAAGGCCTTGGCAAGATACCCCCGCACCCCCCCTCCGGCGCCGGCGGGGAGCCGCTGCCAATCCCAAAGGGCGGCGCGGAAGCCGCGGCGGCGGACCTCCCGCGTGAGCCGCCGCTGGGCCGCCGCGAGGAACATCCGAAGCATCGCCGCCACCGCGAGTTCGGCGTGCGCGGCGAGCCGGGCGAGGCCCTCGCGGCGAAACCCCGCCTCGCGCCGCGCGAGAAACCCCGGGCGGTCGGCCCAGTCGGGGGCGTAAACCTCCGCCATCAGCGCGAAAACGCAGGGCCGCAGGAGCTGCTCCAAAACCACCGCCGAGACGGCGTGCGCGGTGCAAAGCGCGTCGGCCACGCACTCCATCATGACCGCCTCGCGCTCGTCCGAGGCGGCGCGGGGGTCGGCGGCGATGCCGCGGCACCGGCCGTGCAGGACGTCAACAAAGCCCAGCAGAAGATCCCCCACGACGGCCTGGATCATCGCCTCGTGGGCGGTGAGGTAGGCGGCCAGGACGTCGCCCGGGAGCCTCGGCGCGGCGCCGTCCGGGGCGCCGCCCCCGGCCATCCAAAACCCCGCATCCGCGCCGATCCGGACCCGGGCCTGCAGGAACGGGACGACGTGATCGAGCAGGACGGACAGGAGGTTGAGGAGTTTGTTGGGGTAGAAGGACGAGACGTAGTCGCGGCTCAGGCGGGGCCGGAGGCGGGCCTCCCGCGCGGCCGCCGACGCCGCCGACGCGGCGTCGAAGCCCGGGGGCGTGAGCGCCGGCAGGAGCGCGAGATAGGCCTTCGAAAGCACCCCCATCCCGTGCAAGTAGACCTGAAAGCACTCCCCGCGGAGCGTCTCGACGGCCCCCCAGAGCGTCGGGAGCTCGTCCCCGGGCGGCCCCTCCGCCGCGGCCG